AAAGTGTTAACCCCTCCTGGCCCCAGTCAGTACCAAGTTACAACCAAAGCTGATTTGGTGGCCAAACTGAAAACATCCAGGGGGAAAAAAAAAATGGTTCAGCTTTAACCCAAGCTATTTTTTTCCAGGTTTTTATTATGAAACAAAAACAAAAAGTCAAGAGTCAGCACAAAAATGTGATTCTAATTCTTGGCTAAGGCTTCCCCCATTTTTCCCCCCCACAAAATGTACTAACAAAATTTGCCCCCCTGTTTACAAACAGATTTGATCCTCCTCAAACTCCATTAGACTACACAAATTGATTATTTGTTCCCCTGCCAAAAAAAAAAAAAAAAAAAAAAATCACCCAGCTCCACTTAACACACACGGGCGACTAGCTCAGCTGCACTAGCTGATGCCCTGGGGAGGGAATAGAGCGCAGGCTTCAGCCAGTCTCCTCTTCCAAGTGCTGAGTGGAGGGAACGCTATACCTACTAGCAACCAACCGCAGGGATGTGGCAGGAACAGGCTAGCTTAATCTCCCACTAATGCCGGGCCATGATCTGATCCTTTGTAACTCATCCGAGATTATGGTACACTGAGAAATCTATATGTAATTACAGAGCATTTGTCTGTGATTTTTCTTATGGGGAAAAAAAAGGGTGAGTTCACAAGACAGAAGCAAAACATGATAGCCAAAATTTATGAAAAACCAAAGCACAGTGACATTGAGTTAGGCTTCTATATCTAAATAGGAAAACAAGACGGCTCTAAAAAGTGCTAAGAACCCAATTGCTCCCAGACAAATATGGATTTAGCCGTGTAACTTTAGGCATCCGTGTCCTCAGAAAACAGAAATATGAAATTGTTCATGTAGGGGGTACCGAACAAACCAGTAGTTTTCAACAGAATGTGTATCCTTCCCTCAGCTCCTTCCTTTTAGGATTATGCACGCACGCGCACACCCGCACACAGAATGTAATTTAAATTCCTATGTACATGGACGCTTTTTAAGTTATTCCAGCGTGAAAGACCTCAAGCCCAGGAATGATGTGTGCGAGCCCTGCCAAAGAGGAGAAGACAGGCATGGAAGAAAAACCTCTTTGTTGTCACAGCTTGGGCATGTTATGGGTTGCGACACCTTTTTTCGGAGCACCAGGCACAGCCAGCAGATGTTCAAAGAGACATGGGAGCTCCGTTCCAAAGGAGCGCTTGCTTCCCACTGCCACTCGCTGCTGGAAACACGCCCTATTTCTTCATATTAATGACAGCGGGAAGGCATCATCCTGCTCTTAACATTGCTCCACTGGAAAGGGGGAGCTTTCCCCTACCTGCCCGTTAGTCACAACTGAGTAGGTCTGCAACCGATGGGACAGCAGGGTGTCATGGTGAGAACTGTGTCACTTCAGACTCCTCTTGAGAGCTGATAAATGTTTCCTGCCCGTCACAAACTCAGAAGCAGCCAATCTTAGTTCTTTAACCTCTCTGGGATCTAGTGCTCACTGGGTCCCTGTAAACACATATTTCCATGTAGTAACAGAGGATTATTTT